TTGTCTTTCTATTGCAGGTAGTATATAAGTCGGAACGAGCCGGATCGGGCGACTATATCATATAGCTGCCATATAACTGAACGATCGGAAAAGCCATAACTTTGGTGTTTTTAAAGTTAGGAAGTTGAGATTTTCTATGGGTTTTATTTTTGGCTAATCAATCCGACCTACCGAATTTCATAAGGATCGGCCGACTATATCTTATAGCTGCCATATAACTGAACGATTGGAAATGTCATAACTTTGGTGTTTTTAAAGTTAGGAAGTTGGGACTTTTTATGAGTAATAAGAATGCATCATATGAATAATTTATAATTTTATAATTTACAGAATATTCTGCAAGGGTATATCAACTTCGGCTCCGTCCGAAGTTCGCTTTCCTTTCTTGTTTACTTTATTATTATTTATTGGGAGTCACTTTTTATTTATCAATTTGGGAGTCACTTTTTATATATCCGTGATCACTTTTTCGATGTCGGCCTCGAATACGCCTGATTTTATTAAATCAATTCTTCGATGATGAAGGCCTCGAAAACGCAAAAATAATAATTCCTCGATGGCAAAATTATTTTTATTTTGTAATTCGTCGGTTTCTCAACCACTTTTAAAACAAATTTTGACTTTTTTTTTGCAATATTTATAATTGATTAAATTTGTTATAACAGAAAAAATTCTTTTATATCTTTTTGCTTTTTAAAATTTTTATACCCTTGCAGAGGGTATTATAATTTTGGTCAAAAGTGTGCAACGCAGTGAAGGAGACATCTCCGACCCTATAAAGTATATATATTCTTGATCAGGATCACCTCCTGAGTTGAAATAGCTATGTCCGTCTGTCTGTCCGTCTGTCTGTCCGTCTGTCTGTCCGTCTGTCTGTTTCTACGCAAACTAGTCTCTCAGTTTTAAAGCTATCGAATTGAAACTTTGCACACACCCTTCTTTCCTTTGCACGCAGTATATATGTCGGAACGGCCGGGATCGGCCGACTATATCCTATAGCTGCCATATAACTGATTGATCGGAAATGCCATAACTTTTGTGTTTGTAAAGTTGGGAAGTTGGAATTTTCTATGGGTTTTATATTTGGCCAATCAATTCGACCTACCAAATTTCATAAGGATCGGCCGACTATATCCTATAGCTGCCATATAACTGATTGATCGGAAATGGCAAAACTTTGGTGTTTGTAAAGTTAGGAAGTTGGGATTTTCTATGGGTTTTATTTTTAGCCAATCAATCCGACCTATCAAATTTGCCAACGATTGGAAATGCCATAACTTTGGTGTTTTTAAAGTTAAGAAGTTGGGATTTTTTATGAGTATTAAGAATGCATCATATGAATAATTTTGGAGAATATAATTTACAGAGTATATCCACTTCGGCTCCGCCCGAAGTTAGCTTTCCTTTCTTGTTTACTCTGTTTCTTACCACTGGTGGGGGACAACAAGAGTCAATTATTCATTAACACCTTAAATAAAAAACTGCAAATGTTACAAATTTTTTATTTTTTTTTAAGGTGCAGGCGTAACTCTGAGTCTCTCACCACTGGTGGGGGAAAACTGCAGAGTTGTCGAAGGACCAAAATGAAAGGGATGAATTAAATAAAACAACCTTTTCAGTTGAGTTCTGTATTAAAACTCATTTTTATTTTCTAATCTGGTCTTATTTTTTTTCTTATTCTGGTCTTATCTGTGGCCTACGCAGAGGCCGCGTCTGCCTGAGCGGGAGAGTTATCATTTGCCCCCCGCACAGAAACCCTTAGGGCAGTGTGAGAAACATCTCAAGTGATTATCTTCCGTTAGGCTCAAGTGGCCTGCACTTACAGATTCAAAAATGTTAACACCGCTCCCTTGTAGGGTTTAAAATTACAGATCATAGTTTATGGCTCTGGGTCGATTTACAATTGTCACATGAAGTGCACAGAGCTCATAAAGTATTATATTTTATTTTTATTAGTGTTCGTCTGAACAGGCGGCTTTAGGATATAGTCGGCCGATTCCAGCCGTTCCGACTTATTTACTGTGTGCAAAGAAACGAATGGTGTGTGCAAAGTTTCAATTCAGGACGCGATCCTGATCAAGAATATATATACTTTATAGGGTCGGAGATGTCTCCTTCACTGCGTTGCAAACTTTTTACTGAAATTATAATACCCTCTGCAAGGGTATAAAAAGACGTAGAGAGATGTTTAATATAATACATAAAACGTTGGTAAAAATATTTAAATATTATTATTATTATTTAACATACCAATCTATGGCTCCTATAACCATTAAAGGTTCTCCTTGAAATATGACCAATTATTATATCCATGAAGAGATGAAATACGCCCTGGTCAAAGACGAAATAAAGTCGAAATCAGGGAGATACAAGAATATGATTTATGGTCATGACAACACTTTAGACCTATGGCTTTTAAGGGGGTATGGTTAATTCGGCGAAAAAAAGGCCTATTTTCAAGAATTTTTCACGCGATATGGTTAATGTCAGATCAATTATTTTATAAGAATATTAAAGTACAACATTTAAACTACGTTTTCACAAATTTTCATTAAAAAAAAATAAATGAGCCGTTTACAACAAAGCTCCGTAGGCGCCTCCAAGAAAAAAGGTTTTGCGGTGAACAGCATAACTCGTTACTGGATCATCAGAAAAAACCAAAAAAAAACTGTTTATTAGTTAATATGTTTCTAGAAGTAACTACTTTGATTTTTTTTTTATACAATTTTTGGTTTTTTGGGTAACACTTTAAAATTTGATATATTTGTTATTATAAAATGAAAAATAATCAGTAAAAAAAAACTCGACGTAGGTACCTGCGGATTTAGGTACAGAAATTCTGTGCAAAATTTAAAAACGATTCGTTTAGTAGATTTTGCAGGATCGTGTTCACCGACTTTGAAATTGCAACATTTCAGGAGAGCGTTTTAAAGTTTTGGACACCGAAAAATGGCATACAAAACGAGCTAACTCACCTACGTTCAACTGCCCATAACTTCGGAAGTTTTAGTCGGATGAATTTTAAATTTGAACGCAATATTCTTCAAATGTTGTGCATTCAGAAAAAAAATGTAAAAAAAAGATCCAAAAAAATTTAAAGAACAAATTTTAACAATCTTCATTATATAGTTTCAAATATGTAGGTTAATATTTTTATTGGGCTCTTAGGAGTTTAAACCATCAAGTTATCTTATAAAAATCGTTAGTTAATTTCGTAATTGTTTTTTATAAAACAGATTGCCAGTAAAATATAACAAAAACAAGAAAGAAAGCAAACTTCGGCAAGCCGAAGTTTATATACCCTTGCAGTTGTTACAAATCTACTACATTTCGATTTCTATGCCTATATAACTAAAAAAATAAAGCTACATACATACATACATACATATGTCGATTTTGCGCTGCATTTTGCCATCGTTTCTATGGCAGCTACATACATATATGATACTTTTGTCCGATTTTAATTTATTTAAAACCGTAATTCCATAATATTTATAACTACCAAATTCTTCTGTGACTGAAATTATAATAACCTCTGCAAGGGTATACTCTTGCAGAGGGTATTATTGGAAATGCCATAACTTAAAGAATATTCTGCATAGGTATATCAACTTCGGCTCCGCCCGAAGTTAGCTTTCCTTACTTGTGTTGTATGTATATATTTGTCAATGTAAAATTTTTTTTACAGCAAGTAAAACAAGTGGACGAAAGTATAAACGCATTTTTCCCGAAACGATGCCCACGATGGTTGGATTCGTTGCAATATACATACTTTGCATTTGCTATTTATATTAAGACATCATTGTTTTATTGATTGTTTTATTTTACAAATTTTAAGACAGCTTAAGCTTTTGGATCTAAATAGTTCACAGAACTAACCTTTTTAGAGTATTAAATTCTTTGTAGATGTTGTAAAATATTTGTATTATGTAAATTTTTCCCGAAACGATGCCCACGATGGTTGGATTCGTTGCAATATACATACTTTGCATTTGCTATTTATATTAAGACATCATTGTTTTATTGATTGTTTTATTTTACAAATTTTAAGACAGCTTAAACTTTTGGATCTAAATAGTTCACAGAACTAACCTTTTTAGAGTATTAAATTCTTTGTAGATGTTGTAAAATATTTGTATTATGTAAAATTAAAATGTATACGTTCCAAACATATTATTTCTCTATAATTTATTATATTTTTGATTGTAAACAAGAAAGGAAAGCTAACTTCGGGCGCACCCGAAGTTGATATACCCTTGCAGAATGTTCTGTAAATTATATTGGTTGGCCAAAAATAAAACCAATAAAAACTCGCAACTTCCTAACTTTAAAAACACCAAAGTTATGGCATTTCCAATCTTTCAGTTATATGGCAGCTATAGGATATAGTGGGCCGATCCTTATGAAATTTGGTAGGTCGGATTGATTGTCCAAAAATAAAACCCTTCACTGTGTTGCAAACTTTTGACTGAAATTAAAATAACCTCTGCAAGGGTATAACAAGAAAAAGCAAAACATAGAATATAACATGCTCGTCGGAATTAAAAAAATCGATTTTGTGTGTCGGTGTATAATATAACTTAACTAACACACCAGTTCAGTCAAAAACCAAATTCACACCATTACTTTCTTAAATCCCTTCTCACTTTCCCATAATCAGTTGCGCCGGGGTCTCAAATGCGAAACCGGCTTCGGTTTTCCTATGATTGAATCGACTTTTCTGGCTTCTCGTTTGGTTAATTTTACTTCTTCCTTTCTTGCGGCTTGTTCCGCTTCGGCGGAAAACTGGTTTTAACAGTTTTTTTCTATGTCTGTTGTATTATTGTTTCTGAGCTCTTTAAAAAACGGTAAACTTAATACTGAAATAATAAACTCTGGTAAATACAATGATTTTTTCAATTTTCTGAAACCTCAACAACATTATCTAGTTCAGTTATTTCTTATTTACTTGAATTATTTTGGTTATTTTATTTAAGAATATCATTTAATGCTTTACCTACCTTTTTAATGACTTTAAGTTGTTGATTTATTTTTGTTATGCCATTTAACACTTTAATAACACTTTTCTTTTACCTTTGCATTTTTTTTTATATTTCTTATAAATTTGGCACTTATTAAACACAATTGACTTAGAATTATTTTAGTTTTTTTACAGATTACTATATTTGCCCATTCAAATAAATTTAACTTTGCTCTTTTGCTTGTTTTATTTTGCATTTCTTTGTGTATTTTTTTTACAAATCTCCATGACTGACGAAGCACAAAATAAAAGAGAGTTCCGTCGTGACAGAACCACAATTTTCGTTTAACCGAGTGCCACGCACCTTCCGCTACTTGCATTCAACACGAATAGATGTTGTTCAAGAACTGAAGCGCTGCGCGTCTGAGAGAGAAGTAAAATACTTAAGGCCAAACATAACCTGGTACTATTTGAGGTATATTGTGGATCGTGAGTTCTCGCCTGCTACTATCTGCCTCTCTTGTACTCAATCTTTCTACCCTTCTCTCCATCACCAGCAACTCACTTGCTGTTTACCCTTTAGTTTTAGATTCACTACTTGTGAACTGCGTGGAAACGGCACAAGTCGCCTTACTTAAGTCTGTGACACCAATTCGTGTTTCCATTTTTTTAAATTTATTTTCTTTTATAACTAAGATTGTTGTTCGGTAGAATTTAAAATTAAGCGAGCGGGACAGTCAAGAAGCAACAAATGAAAGAATGAAAATGAAGTCACAAAAAAGGCTACAAAAGTAAGGCTACAAAATTTCTATTTTTGTTATTGTGAGAAATTTATTTCTTAAGATTTTTATTTAAACTAACGGCTGAAAGTAACATTAAGTTTTGTAAGCTAATAGTTAAGCTCAAAACGTTATTGCACGATTTTAGTTTCTTCGTTGCAAAAACCATGTCTTTCCAATTAAATGAGATGATGAAATAATTTAAATAAATGATAGTTCTTCAACCTAGACAGAATTTGAAATAAGGATTACGTTAATTGGTGCGCTTTTTATATATGCCTGAAGCAAATTTCCATTTTTATACTCTTGGGCGACAATAGGAAAAAAAATTCAAAAAATTAAAACTTTAATGTTTTTAATTTTTTTGTTGTTGTTTTTTTGGGATTTGGGATAATTAAAATCGGACAACAATATTATATAGCTGCCATAGAAACCATGGCCAACTGCAGCGCAAAATCGACATGCTTCATTGTTTTTAGTAATATAGGATTATAAATCAAAATGTAGTCGATTTCTAACAACTGCAAGGGTATATAAACTTCGGCTTGCCGAAGCTAGCTTCCTTTATTGTTTTTGTTATTTTAAAAATTTAAGATTGTTTTATTTAATGATTTGATTTTTAATTCGACATGCTAAAAATTAAAAAGCGTATTTAATTAGTAGAATGTGTCATCATGTACATCAAATTTTGTCACAAACTTTGCTATCAGAAATTTTGTACGTTAAAACAGCGATCATTTCGACTTTTTGTACTTGAAGAGAAGTTTTTCTTTAATTCATTGTTAGTAAGGTACTTTTTAAGGTTGTTCAGGCGGGTCATAGAAAACTCATATAACAAAATATAAGCCCAAAACAAAATCTCGCTAACACAAATATTTTTGTCAATTTTGGCATACTTTGAAATACGGTTTTATAAAATCAACCTTCCTACATTTTTTTTGTGTAATCTTAAATTTATCGAAACCAACATCAATAAAATGTTCTTTCATTAAAATATATGTTATATTGTTTAACATACGATTTTCTCAATTATCTGTTGCGCAATCAAACATAAAATGGAAATAAAATAAAAAGATAAATTTTGTCTATGATATTTTAAGTTTATAAGATTATTTAATTTGCTGTTTCTGAATTTATCTGACTGAAAATGTTTTTGTTTGTCGGTTGGACACCGAAACTAAATCACGAAGAATGGTGAGCTTTCGGCTTCGAAACACCAATTTCTTACCGGGCAATTCATAATTACACTATGAAACTCAAAAAAGTCGGCTCTTGGTCGAGACGGATACTAATGTTTACTTTCGGTGGACGGAACTTGTTAAAACTGAAGAAGATGGACCGCACATAAATTGATTGTGGGCTAAGCTTTGTTTTCACTCTGCACAGAAACTAATATGAGCGTGAGATATAAGGTAAAGATATCAAATTAGATTGTGGAAGCTGCGTAAGAAGTTCACAGCCTGAAGTTGTTTTTAAGTTGGTGTAAGATTTGTTATTTGGGGCTGCTTAGATGGAATGCAAATGGTTAGTCAATTCTACTAAAATTTGTTTTTCGATCAGGATTCTTAGAATCAGTATTATTTCTTATCAGTATTATAAATATCAGTATTTTAAGTAAATAAATTATCAATAAGAAAATCAATATTAAATTAATTCTGGTTTGATGAATTTGAATAAATGGTCCTAACATATTTATATTATTGAAGGAAAGTTTCGAAACGATTGAAAAAATATATGCAGTAGAATCCGGTTATAACGACTCCCCTTATAGTGTCCGTCCGGTTATTGCGACGAAAACTTCGGGTATAACGACGTAAAATCGTCGGTCCCTTGAAAGTCGATATAACCGGATTCTACTGTATTTGGCAATTTGAAAAATATTAAATTTTCGTTCGGTGAATAGAATAATACTACATTTCTATTCTCATTGGTGTAAGAAATATTGTTAGTTATTTTTGTACCATGAAATGTTATTAGGTATAAATCATTTAAAAATGTTTCGTTTATAAATATCATATGAACAAGAAAGGAAGCAAACTTTGGAAAGCCGAAGTTTATATACGCTTGCAGTTGTTACAAATCTACTAAATTTCGATTTCTATGCCTATATTACTAAAAAAAAGAAAGGAAAGCTAGTTTCGGGCGGAGCCGAAGTTAATATACCCTTGCAGAATACTCTGTAAATTATATTCTCCAAAATTATTCATATGGTGCATTCTTAATACTCATAAAAAAACCCAACTTCCTAACTTTAAAACAAGAGAGAACGCTATAGTCGGGTGCCCCGACTATCAGATACCCGTTACTCAGGTAAAGGGAGTGCGAGGGAGACGGAGATAGAAACTTTGATCACGCATAACTTTTTAACGAATGGTCAGATTTGAAAATTTTTTTCTACATTTCGATAGGTATTGATAAACACAATAAAACTGCATTTTTACTTTTCCGAAATATTTACATTTTTAAAATCGTATTTAAGCGATTGTGGGCGTTAAAGGGGGCGTGGCACCAGTTTGAAACAAACTTGCGCTGCGTAGGAACTCCTAAAATCTACATGCAAAATGCCAATCTTCTAGCTTTTATAGTTTCCGAGATCTCAGCGTTCATACGGACGGACAGACAGACGGACAGACAGACGGACAGACAGACGGACAGACAGACGGACAGACGGACAGACGGACATGGCTATATCGACTCGGCTAGTGACCCTGATCAAGAATATATATACTTTATAGGGTCGGAAACGCTTCCTTCTAGCTGTTACATACTTTTGCACGAATACAATATACCCTTTTACTCTACGAGTAACGGGTATAAACACCAAGGTTATGGCATTTCCAATCGTTCAGTTATATGGCAGCTATAGGATATAGTCGGCCGATCCTTTTGAAATTTGGTAGGTCAGATTGATTGGCCAAAAATAAAACCCATAGAAAATCCCAACTTCCGACTTACATATATACTGCGTGCAAAGGAAAGAAGGGTGTGTGCAAAGTTTCAGTTCGATAGCTTTAAAACTGAGAGACTAGTTCGCGTAGAAACAGACAGACGGACATCCTTATATCAACTCAGGACGCGATCCTGATCAAGAATATATATACTTTATAGGGTCGGAGATGTCTCCTTCACTGCGTTGCACACTTTTGACCAAAATTATAATACCCTCTGCAAGGGTATAAAAATGAAGCTATGTCGATTTTGCGCTGCATTTTGCCATCGTTATGACAGCTATATGATATTATTGACCGATTTTAATTTAATTAAAACAGTAATTCCATAATATTAAAATATTAACAAATCCCAAAGAAAAAGACAAAAAATTAAAAGACAACAAAGTTATAATTTTTTTGATTTGTTTTTTCCGATTGTTTCTATGGGAGCTATTTGATATAGTCGCCCGATCCGGCTCGTTTCGACTTATATACTACCCGCAATAGGAAAAAAACTTTTGGGAAAGTTTCAAGCATATGGCTTTCAAACTGAGGGACTAGTTTGCGTTAAAACGGACGGACAGACGGACAGACAGACGGGGAGATGAAGTCTTAATTGGAGTTGATTCAAACCTCAGAGGAGTTATTTTTTGAGGAATTCAATACCATTGAGTTATCGCTTCCTGGTAACTCTATATACAAATTCCGCCGTTGTCTGAACTTCCTAATTATTCAAATCACCTTTCCCTTATCAAGTCTGTTGTAAACAAGCAGTTGGTAGTTCTAGATTTTAATATACCTGGAGTTACTTGGTCCACTAAGGATCGATCGAATGTCTTACTACTTATAGCACAACATGATTTTATTGACGGCTTGCTTCACATATCGTTATCTTAAATACACCATGTTCGAAATTGATTTGTGTTTTGTATAAAATCCTGAAGGTGTGTTTCTGTCCAAAGAAGCACCACTCACGCAACCTGAAAACCCATATCATCCTACAATCGAACTTACAATTAACCGGGGTATAGTTATAAAAGAAAAATCAGAAAAATCAAACAAACGAATACATGGTTTTCGCAAGGCAGACTTTCTGAGGCTACAACATTTTATTTCTGGCTTTAATTGGTCTGAAATATACTTATGCAATAATATGTCCGATGCAGTTCATGTCTTTTACACTGCAATAAATTCATTTTTTAATTCATTTGTTCCGTCAATCTCCAATAAATCACTCGGCTTAGTCAAGAATTGTAAAGTCCAGACTTTTTAGGAAATATAAAAATACCGGTTCTCAATCTGTTTTTGCTAAATATTGAAGTGCTCGGTCAAGATATTCCGTGCTTCATGCTTGGTTACTTAAGGGGGGGTATGGTTAATTCGGCCAAAAAAGGCCTATTTTCATGAATTTGTTCACGCGATACGGTTAATCAGTTCAGATCAATTATTTTATAAGCATATTAAAGTACAAAATTTAAACACAAATTTTCATAAAAAAAAATAATAAATAAGCCATTCGCAGCAAAACTCCGTAGGCGCCTCCAAAAAAAAAAGGTTTTGCGGAGAACAGCATAACTCGTTACTGGATCATCAGAAAAAACAAAAAAAAATAGTTTATTAGTTAATATGTTTCTAGAGATAACTACGTTGAGTTTTTTTATTCAATTTTTTGATTTTTGGTAACACTTTAAAGTCAAAAACATTATTTTAGCCTAAAAATTCGATACATTTGTTATTATAAAATGAAAAATAATCAGTAAAAAAAAGCTCGACGTCAGTACCTGCGGATTTA